CTTTCTTTGCAGTGCGCGACAAGAGAAAAAGCAACCACATAAACCATATCAGCCATGTAAGTTCCTCCTCCTCTTCTTCTTTTTTAAGAAGCTTCGCTACAGCTTCACAGACTGCTTGGTCTATAAATAGTTTGGATCAAGTATGATCATATCTATTTTTGCTTGGCTTCTTTAGAATCTGTTTCATCTAATGAAAGGTTCTCCAGATGGGATATAAAAATTCTCACATTTTGAATATATAACTCAAATGCTCTCCCTCCTACTGTCAATCAGATTACACATTTTAAAATGCATTTGTGTTCATAATCCTGTTTTTGATTGTTATTACTGTTATTTATATTACACTGTTGCGTAGTTATCCAAACCCCTTTGTAACATTTGTAACCTGAAGGAAATTACCAGTTTTTAGTTTCATTGCGGTGCAGATAAAAGGGTCTGAGTTGGAGCCTGTCTGTGTGGGATTTGTATGTTCTCCCCTGGTTTCCTCAATCAGTCCAAAAACATGTATGTTATTTAGTTAGTCCCTTTAAGTTGGCCTCAGATCTGAGTGTTTGCCTCCATGCTATGCTTCTAGCCCTGAGGTTGACCTGTGACCTGCCTCCTATCAACCAGAACCCCCCTCCCACCCTGTCAGGGCTGAAAGGTTATATAAACTGGATCCAATGATTGCATTATATAGAGAACGAACTCAAGAGAGCTTTCAGTGTTCTTCTCGTTACATCAGAGGACGGAAAACGTCAACAAAGATTAGATGATATCTTTAGTTTATCAACTTTTTTTCTGACTTCTCAACAGCCAAAGTAGCAGTTTGATGATTGATTTTGATTATCTATGTCCAATCACTGAATATTTTTATTTATTATGATCAATATGCAGGTTCTTGGAGCACAAGTGCATGGTTTTAGTTATAACCATATTAATCTAAATGTTGTTTTTTTCTTTTAGTTTTGAAAAACCTTGATTACCTTTATTTACTCTGACAACCAAATTTACAGCAATGCTCTAGTAGAGCGGCACATTTTTCAGCCTGGCTGAGGGTATTTTATTTTTCTGGGATTCCTGATAAACCCAGATTGAGCAGAGATCACAATCATTTCCTCCAAATTTACGGGAATTATATCACAATAGTGAACATTGAGCATCTCCACATAAAGCTACCGTAACATCTTCTTCTAATACCTTCCTTTTCTTAGGAAAATATTTTGATATAAATGCACCCAGATAAAAAATGATCCAACATTAAGCTATTTCGCGTTGTTTATAACATTAAACATGGAGGCTAAACATTAAAGATGAAGGCTAAACTATATTAATAATGTTACTGTTGTTTAAATGCAATATATCTCAAACTTAGGGTCATTTTCACAGGCTTGAATTAAAAATGCATTTATCTTAACCTTCCTTATACCCTTCTTTCAGCTTTTCTCTTCCTCTAACTGGACTGCAATCATTCATGCTTTGATTTAGCCTGTAGGAGAGAGAAATACCAAAATTGACAAGTCAAAAAATGGTTTAAACTACTCCAAAAAGCGTATTTCAAGTCATTAATGCTTAATCTAAATCAAAACTGCATCTGTTAATATTGTTAATTCTTTAAATCCATTAGCAGAGAAACACATTGGAAGAGGCAAATAAATGACTAAAGCTCTATCAGGGTTTCTGCAGATCATTAAAAGATATAAAAAATTTTAATTAAGGTCTTATTTGGCATTATAATTAATTAAATGTGATTATTGTTGAATTTAAAATGCGTTAATAAAAAAAAAAAAAAAATAACTATTTCGTCAGACATAACCGGTTCTGCGTGTTTGCACGGAACTGCTTGCTTTTGATCGTAAAGCCGTATGTTCGGAAAAGAAGCTCGCGGCGGAGAAAAAGCTAGAGAATGGGAAAAAATGCAAAATTCAACTAAAGTGGCTGGAAAACGAGGAATTCTGGACATGGCTGCAACTTGTCGACAGTAAAGATGATGAGGGATTCTGCAGTGTTGATGGCATTAGAATTATTCCAAAGAGTCTTAAAAAGCATTCAATTAGAGTTACTCAGTCCTGTATAAATACTATCAATGAAATGCAGGATGTAATGTATTTAAATGTAACAGCTTCAGAGAACAAAAAACATACTTTTAATATGTTCCTTAATTTCTCAGCATGGGATTATTAAAGTAGATCTATCTATAAATCCATTAAAATTTGATCAAATAGAAAAAAATGTTTTCTTCAGACACGGTAAACAAAAACAATAAAAAGACACTAAAAGTAAGATATTCCTCTATTACCATATTATACGTTATAGCTGAATCCCGTTTTGTAATGGGCTCCTGTAGGACTTATTGTTAACTTTGAAACAATCTGGGGTTGGTCTCTGACTGCAGCCACCGTTTACTGCATGCAGAGCAGAAGAGTCCGACCACTCGTCAGTGCTTTGGAGGTGGGAGGGGCTTGCAGTGACAGTGGACTCAGAGCGATAAGGTGCTTTTACATTTTGTAGGCAACAATACAGAGAATAGTTGCTAGATTTGTCGCTATAAAAAAAAAAACTTGATCAGTCTGAAAAGATGCAAAAACTGGTGACAGAGTCGGTTGGCAGAGAAGTCAGCCTTCCAGACAGGCAGGGCCATACGATTTTTGTTTTGAAAAACTAAAGTAAATTGAAACATTACTTGATATTTCAATCAATTTCACTCAGATTATGGGTTTTTATTTTTTAAGGTGATCCCTCATATGTGCTACAGTTTCTTTTCTTAGGGGTTGAATCTTAAAACCAGTATTGCTTTTGCTTCTTTCATTTGCATAATAAAAAAGACACAGTGAAAGCAAATGTTACACACATCACAATATAAGCAAAAAAGGAAACATTAATGAATCCGATGGCGCCTGTGGTTCAAAACCTCCATTCCTGTCCCTGGAACATTAGCACATGTTCATTGTGTGATTCTCTTTTTCTTTTTTTTTTCCCTCCAGGTTTCTCCTGGTCCTCCGTTAAAGAAGTACAGCTCCTGTTCTACCATCTTCATAGACGATAGCACCGTGAGCCAGCCAAACCTCAAAAGCACAATTAAATGGTGAGACGTCTCTTCCGGCAACAGACGCTCATTGAGGCGCTGCTGAAATGTCTCTGATTTCACATGAGGTTTCTGTTACATCACACTAAGTTTAATCCTCTGAAGACAAGCAGACAGATGCTGAACTCAACAGATGACTGATCTCATCTTGCCTCATTTTACCTCGTTTCAATGTTATAACACCATTCAGTCACTTTACTAAATCCTTAACATGTCAAAGACTTTGCTCACCACTAACTCACAGGCAGGCCATGATTTAAGGGTTTGTTTGGGTGAATGAATTAATACGATAAAAAGACAAACTTTGTTTTTCTGTCCCACAGTGTCACTTTAGCAATATACTACCACATCAAAAAAAGGTGGGTTTGAATCTTTAAACTGACTTACATTTTTATAAATGTGTTTGGAAAGTCATTTAAACGGATGTTCTGCTCGTCTTCTAGGGACTCTGACAGGTCGCTGGACATCTTTGATGAGAAGTTGCACCCTTTATCAGTAAGTGTCTCCATGTTTCTAAGGTCTTACTTTTAATTCTCTTTTTATTGTATAGTATTTAACTTTATGTAGAAAACTTTGCTGCACTCTCTGTGATTTTAACAGTTTCATTTTGTGTACCTTCGAATAGCCAGATATGTTTAATTTTGGAATTACTTCTGTAGTCCTCTTTTCAGTCCCTTTGATATGTCCTCCATTCATTTTGCCGGTTTTATATTTCTAATTGATACATTAGGGTTAAATTAGATTTTTTTTTTTCCCAAGTTGTATTAAGTTTTTAAGAAAGAAAAGTTTTTTTTTTTTTTTTCTTTTCTTTTTTTTGCATAAATCCTGTCAGTTTCAGGGGTTCATCTAATATTCCATTTCCTAAAAGGGAAAAATCAAAACTTCTAAAAGTTAAAGGTTTTTTTCTTAAATTATTATTTTTTTTGATAATTTGAGTAATATGTCAAATTAGAATAAACATTCTGGATTTTCAGTCCTTAACAGAACCCATAGTTGCATTCCCAGTCATTCAATGATTAAAAATTACAACCTTCTTAGAGCAGATATTTATATTAAGATTGAAACCCTTATTTATTTTTAAAAACAGATGACATAGAAAAGTAGTTATTGATGACACCAAATCATTTTTTAAGGATCAGTTTTCACACTGGAAAAATTGTCTAGAAATAAGTAAAAATATCTTAAATTAAGTATATTTACCCTTAATTTGAGCAGGTAAATGAGATAGTTTGCCAATAGAAAGAGTATTTTCACTCTTAAAACAAGATCCTTAGAAAACACTTAAAATAAGGCAAATTGTGTTTTCTTATTTTCAATGTAAATTGTCTTGTTCCATTGGCAAAATGTCTCTTTTACCTCCTCAATCCAAGAACAAATGCACCTATTTTAAGAAAAAAAATGACTTGTCTAGATTTAGATTTTTTTTTTTTTTGCAGTGCATTTGTTGATTTCTTTATATCTCACTGGATCTGTAGACATGATCAGAACATCCCTTTCATCTTTATCTCTGAATAACCTATCCAGGTTTCCTAAATCCAAACTTGACGTATTTGTTTTCTGGCTTTACATGCTTGTGATTTTAAATGGTTAGAAGATGCGGTACTGCTAATCTGGAGGAGTAGTATGTTGTGGAGCTCTCTTATATAATTACCGCAATGTAGTAAACATTAAAAAGTAAAGTAAACTGAATAAATCAAACTCTACTAGAATTTATTTTTACTGTTAAAAATGATGAAACGGAAACTAGATTAAAATAAATGAACTTAAGAGTTTAAAACCGGTTTTCATTAATATGTTAACAAGTAGTCGTGACCTTAAATTGGGGTGGAAACAATCAGATTAATCGAGATTAATCGATTATTTAAATAACCATGAACTAATTTAGTAGTCGATTAATAGCAAACTGGAGTAAAGAGACTGTAAAACACGCCTAAAAACTGACAGAGCAATCCACTTAGAGCAATTATGACAAAATTGTAAAAAAAATCTTTTTCTTGTCAATATGCTCTATCCAGAACTCGAGTGGAAAAGTTTTAGTCTCACCTGGTTTAATTTAGCAAAACGTCTTCTATAATTAACCTTTGCTATCCAATCTACAGATTAATCGATTTGTAAAATAATCTTTAGTTGCAGCTCTACCTTGAATACACAAAAAGGGGGCAGGTAGGATCTTCCCTGGGATTTTTAGCTCTGGTTAGTGAAACTAACTATAGTTTTCTAATGTAAAGCAAACTTATTTCTGCGTTGCACAATCAACGAGCCAGTGTTTCCATGGTGACAGAACAGAGAAGGACAGGGAGACAAACAGCCTGGAGGTTTATTTCCTCAACACGTGTTTCCTGACGTGAGAAAGGGAGGTCGTTTTAAATCAAGAAGGACCTGATAGGGATGCAGTAAAGCTGATGGAGTTTAGCTTGATGAGTCCTGCTCTGCTCGGCGAACACCAGCAGCTCAGACACAAATGCACAAACCTGCTGACTATTTCTGGTCTACAGGTTGCTCTTTTTAGTTGTGATTTTCTGTTCACTTTTTCTTTTCGTTTACAGGTGTTTTTAGTTTCCACCTGTGCCTTATGTCAGGGTTATTTGTTTATTCATGTATACTGCTTGTTCAACCTGAAATTCTGTTAAACCTGTCATCATGTCTTAAAGTCATTTAAAGTTGTAGGGAAGTCATATTTAAATGCCAAATCATTTTGGCTTAAATGTGTATATAAATGTACTCCTTATCAGACTTTATTGTCCCAAAATGTAGAAAATTTCTATTTGCATCGGTTGGAACAGCCGCTTCCCTACTACTTTAAGACATGCATCGGAAAATGTTTTTCAAAGTGTTTTTTCCGAGTGATCTTTTCTCAGGAAGGAATTGGGCAGAGAAAGCTAAATAGCTTTCCATAACACACCTAAGCTGCGAGTCTTGGTAAAAACATTTTTATGGCTTCATAATTATAACATTTAAATATTATTGATTTTGTTTAGTCAGTTAATTAAGAATAGAATAGAATAGAATAGAAAATCCCTTTATTGTCCCATGATGGGGAAACTGGTGTTTACAGCAGCAAAACGATTAGAAAACAAATTCTATTATAATTACATTTGAAGTCAGTTAAAATCTAATATTCTAGCTGTAATAGAAGAGAAATGGAAATTTTGTTTTATTGATATTATTTTTCGGGCCTCCTTAGATTCTGTTACTAGTTATTAACTGCACAAATAATTGCATTATTTCATAAAGGACTTATTTCGAAAAAGTATTCTATGCAGCCAATTAGGCTGCATTTATAGGTAGTTTTTTCCTATTTTTATTTTTTTTGCATGTCTTTATACTTTTTAAAAGATGATATCTGATTTTGTTTCTAAAACAAAGATCCATTATTTTTTATTCATGAAGATTGAAAACTTCCATTCCTCTAATCCTGGGTTTATCCTGAAATCTTTGAGAAGGACTCCATTCAAAAACATCCTGCTTGTTTGTCTAAAAGGTCCGTTATCAATGAAAATGTTTAGCTCTCATCTTATACGTCACAAATTACGGGAAACTGTGTTTTTGGAGGTTTTGTATTGCTGATCAGTGTGCCGTTTGTGGTTTTAAATGGCACAAGATTCAAGGAGAAATGCAGGCGCCGCTCCTCTCTGGCTAACTGCATCACAAACCACTCTTCAGCTGTGGCTGTAAACCATCTCCACATCCTGCTTCCTCTCGGTCATATCTGAATCTTTCCATCCCACACAGAAAGAGCCAGTGCCAGACGACTACGCATACGTCGACCCAGAACACAAGCTGATCTACCGCTTCGTCAGAACGCTCTTCAGCGCTGCACAGCTCACTGCAGAATGTGCCATCGTCACACTTGTATGTATAAATAATAGTGGGAGAATAAATAATTACATCAATGTGTTTTATGTCTCATTGCTTTTCAAATGAGAAGGAGCCGCATAGGTGGTCTTTCCATAAAATTGCATGTAAGATAATTTTTCAGCTGTATCCTGCTGTGATGTTTCCTTATTTGGTCACCAGAGGGCAGTAGCATCCTATAAACTCCAATGAATCTTTCTAGAATGAAGTGTTTTTATCTGAGTGCAGGATGAATGCATGAAAATGTTCTCAGTCATTTTAGGAAATGAGTTTTGACTTTATCTGACTGCTGATTCCGCTAACTAAAGTATTAAAGGTAGAATATGCAATGCTATTCTAAAGATCCAAATGGATGTTTAAATTATCGTAAATAATTATGCTTTTTATTATTCATCCAGGTCTACTTGGAACGTTTGCTGACTTACGCCGAGCTGGACATTTGTCCTGCCAACTGGAAGCGGATCGTCCTGGGAGCCATCCTGTTAGCCTCCAAGGTCTGGGATGACCAGGCAGTTTGGAACGTGGACTACTGCCAGATCCTTAAAGACATCACCGTGGAGGACATGTAAGTGGTGTGCATAGATGGGTGGCATCATTTTCCACCTGAAAGCCTGAACAAAGGAGAATTTTAAAGAAAGAAGTAATTTCTCTAGTCCCTGATGATGTCAAATAATATATACACACACAGTAAATCTTTATATATTAACAATTAATGGTTGAATTAACAAAGAAAAATGTTTTCTTACACATCATTAAACCGGACAAACTCATCACATAAAAGAACAGGAACCTGAGAATACCATTGAGGCTCCTTTTTAAGAATGAACAACAGCGCCATCTAGCAGACAGCAGGAATATTACAACGCAGAAAGAAGTTCCTGAAGCAGACTATCACTTAATCTGATGATTTTAAACTTTTCACATTTTTACATTTGTTTTCAAATAACTTTACATCTTAATGATTCCTCCAAAGTTTGTGGGATGAAAGGGGCAATAAGGTACATTTCATTACTGGATTCAACTATTAATACAACAACTTTATTTTTCTAATTATTTTGTAGCGTCGACTGAAACTGTTGGTTCTTGTTGCGAATCAGCTACTGCTTCCTGGTTGTTTTGTCGGTATCCACTACACTGACATCTTTTCTCTTTTAAAAACAACAGGAAAGAAAAAAAAAACAGGCTGTGTGTTTATTTAGGTTTAATCTGTTGAATAAACTAACAAGAAAATTTAAACGTGAGTAAAAAACACTCTAAAACCACAGGAAAACATGCAATAGAAACCACTTTTCATTTTCAGACAGAAAGGTGATGCATTCCTAACATTCATAAAGGGCATTTAGTGTCGTTCAGGAGCTAAAATGTTCTTTTCTGTTGAACTTAGTAGATAGTTATTAGAAAAATTAATACATCATAAAACTGAAGCTAGACCACTTTAACAAATCGGTAGATTTGTAAAAAAAAAAAAAAAAGAGATACTTCTGATTAAGGTAAAGAAGTATTAGTCCTGCTATTTAGTCAAATATTTATTTTGTCCTTAATTTAAGACATAATTTTGTGCTTGGTTAAAAAAAAGGATGGCTGGATAGGTAGGTAGGTAGATCTGTTTTTCTAATTTATTTCATTTTTGCCTGTAAATCTGGTAAACCGCAAACATTATGGCTGTATATTAACCATGAAATTCAGTGGTCTCTTTTTTTTATTTTTATTTTAATGAGGGTAAAACTACTATAGGGTTTAAAAATTAGGGCTTTTTTTAGTGCTTTGTGTTTGTTTTTTTGTTAAGAATACAAACACAAATGAACCACAAGCCTAAATGGCCATTTTTGATCTATTTAAGGAACATTCAGAAGTGTCTCCTTTCATAGACACAAAAAACTCCATCAGCTAAATAGGATGGAAAGGAGAGAAGGAAACTTCTGAACACATTCAGAAGTTTCCTTTTCACCTTCTAACCCCAAAATACTCAAACTGATCCAAGAAGAAGATAAATGCAGAACATTAAAGCAAATACATCCACCTTTTATAAGTATTAGATTTTTTTTGCTGTCTTGGTGCCACATAGGCTCCAAAAAGGCTCTGATACAACATGCTTGTCCCTCTAATAAGAGCAATATAATAAGGTGCACTTAAAGCAGCCAGAAAAAGTGCTGGAATAAATGGAAGCTGCAGCATCTCTGCCGTCTGGCTGTGAGCCGCTGAAGAGGCCAGGGGCTGCACTTGGAGGACCACGGCTTTATTTCCTGCAATTGCTTTTCTCATGTCTGTGTGTAAAAGAGGTTGAGAGTGCTGGCTTGTTTTTTCTGATTTGGACAGAAGCTGCCTGCATGTGTGTGTTTGCCGTCCGTGCCCCCGTCCTTTCCTGAGCCGCTCTCTCTCCGTCCGTCTGACCCACGCGCTCCCTGCTCTGTTTTCATTGCTGCCACTGAAGTGTCTTTGTGAGCTGGTTCGAGTCTGGGCCGAGGGATGGGAAGAATAGGAGAGAGGGAAACAGAGAAAAATGGAAGGGAGGGTCTCAAGTGCTCTCACTGCTTCTACATAATGGCCCCGGCTCTCGTCCCCTCCATTAGTTGCCCCGGGAAACCAGACATCACACACACACTCACTCCTATGTCCTCTTACCACCTTTGCTGACCAACAAAGCATCCTGGATGTTGTCTCCTTGGAGACCACCTCCCCTTAGATTTACTTGCGACTCTGATGATGAGGGATCATGAGAGTTGTTGTCTGGGGGGAAAAAAGGCGACTGTTTCACTTCGGGGAAGTGGGTGGAAATACATTTTTGATCACCTGCAGCTCAGTGGAACCTGAAGTCAGAGAGACCCATCTCTATAGAGATATTCACTACTAAGTCTACTTTAAGCAGACTGATATGATGTATCTGCAGGTGAGATGAATAAACATGGTTTCCAGCTCTCATTGTGTATCTTTATCCTCCAGGAACGAAATGGAGCGGCAGTTTTTGGAACTTCTCCAGTTTAACATCAATGTGCCAGCCAGTGTTTACGCCAAGTATTACTTTGACCTGCGGCAGCTGGCTGACGACAACAACCTCAACTTCCCGCTGGAACCCCTCAACAACCAGCGTGCTCAGAAACTAGAGGTGACCTGTAAACAGTTTGCTAATTCACTTGAGCAGTTCCTTTTTTGGGTGGACTGATGTTACAACATACAACTGTACAGATTTAAAATAAGAATTAGGTTAAAACGTTTTATTATGGATTATATCTAGAGGTTTAAATTAGTGTTGCACCGATACTGGTACCAGTATCGGGCAGGGCCCCAATATCTGCCCTAAAATGGTGGTATCTGTATCGGCGAGCACCGACAAATAGGGCACCGATACCATTTTGAGCCAAAAGTTTATTCAACTATTGTCACTGACTGGATTCACGTTGTATAAAGGCTGATTTATACTTCAAAACTAGGTAGTCTACGAAGGTGTCGCAGTGAACAAAAAAAAACATCCCCGCCCCCCTCTGCAGATGATCTGCTGCACCTCTCCCAAATTGTAGGTGACTGCAGATGGTGCCGCAGACAGGGGGCCTCTGATTGGTCTAATCTACATCCGCTTGCCGGCTTGTTTTGTTTGTATGACCACAATTGCGGAAAACTAGTAGTGAAGTTGGACCAGCTAGAAGAGCGAGGTGCGCGAGAACGCTGGGACCCTTTTTTCCATCCCCGCTCTATTTTGCCCTCATGTCCATCCGTTGTCCGACAAACTCGCCCCACTTCCTCACAGCCTCGTTCGTATCTAGACCCACAGCTAGTTTGTGATTGTCCCTCTTGTATTGTGGCATGGAATATAACATAGCGCAGACCACGCTTTAATATTGAGCATAAATCAAAAATGTCTGCGTCAAGCTCACTGCGACACACTGCTGCGGAAGGATAATCAGCCCTTTAGTTTTTTTCTTGCTTCACAAAAGTAGGCAGCAGCTTGACAAAGCCATGATGGCAATTATTTTACATCTGAGTAGTATGCAGTTCTTCGTATTTACACACATCAATTTCAAACGGATGGTATCGGTATCGGCCGATACTGCACAGCCAGGTATCGGGTATCGGTATCAGGGCCAAAAAATTGTATTTGTGCAACACTAGTCTAAATATTTACATGCAGCCATATTAATGTACCTCAGCCACATGCAGGAGTTGTTCTGGTTTCAGCCGACAAAAGAACTTTGGATTATTCTGTTCACCCTTTGTGATTCATCTGTACCACTAGCCATGAAATGAACCTAGGGCGTTATGCTGCCAACACCTTGATAAAGTGTTTGTATAGTGCTCTTAGGTTTTCAATTTGATTCAGTCCATTTATATAGCACCAATCCACAACACATGGTATGTCATGGTACTTTACAGACAATACAGTCAGATTGGTTTTTAAGTTTCTATAAAAAAAACAACAGCTGATTGCATCCAGTCATCGAGTGCTTGGACATGCTTTTTCCTGGATGACTGCGCACCGGTGATTTTCTGTTGCATTTCGTTATTGACTCTTCCGAAGTCTCTCAGGAGGAGCATGCATGCAGCAACAGTCGAGAGGAAAAACTCCCTTTTAACAGCAAGAAACATCCAGCAGTACCAGGCTCGGTGTAAGCGGCCTTGTGCCAAGACCGACTGGGGTTCAAGGAGACAGAAAGACGTACAAAAACAAGCAGATATACAATAACGGCAAATTACCTCCACTTGTGGCCCTGTCCAAGAACAACATAGCTCTGAGCCAGTTCCCATGTCAAAGGATAAAAGAGGACACATACAGTTAGCCACAGTAAAAGAAACAGGACTACACTGAAAAATAGGCCCAACTATATCCTCTATAAGCTAAGATGTTAACAGCAGCAGCCTAGCTGATATTTCTGTGACACTCTCCAGGAGGGTGTCACAGCCACACAGGAACAGACCAGATGACGTACTATGGAAAAAAGAACAAATTTATGGTTAGAACTAACAAATACTGCAGAATGGAAGAAGAGAGATGAAAAGAAGCGGAAAGATGAAACGTGGTGCCTTTGTCCTCCAGCACCCTAAGCCTCTAGCAGCATAATTATAGAAAATGGCTCATGGTAACCCGACTATTTTAGGTGTTTTAAAGCTTGTCTTTTCTAAACCTATGCTAATATTGCTGATCTCAAACTGCACAATCTTTTTTTTATTATTCTTATTTGCCAATAAAACATTTTCTGACAAAGAATTAGATATAAGAGAGCTGGCCTCAGAGTGGTCAGGGGCGCTGGTACGCCAGCATCGTCCCAGTTATTGATCCTGGGTTGTTGTGTAACATCCTGACCAGTTTCCTTTATCTGAAGGAGAACGATTGGGTCAGAAGGTTGGGGTTGGACTTATACAGGGCGTACCAAACACACTTCAAAGCTTGTTTCAGGACTGGTTTCCTTAAATCCCGGACCTCCAGCTCATGCAATCCTTGTCCAAGATTAATGCCAGGATATTTACAAATTTAACACTGTGTATGAATATAAACACTCTTTTTATTAATTTTTTTGCTTTTTTGAAAATGCCTGCATTTAAAAGCACCATCCTACTACATGATCTTATTTATATTCTGTACATAAAAGTAGCAGAAGTATTCATCTTTTTACGCTTTAAGAGTGAAATATAAACAGAAAACATACCTTTGAATGAATTGAAGTATTGTCTCACAGATTTTTATAGATTTTCTGTAGGAATCATTCAGCCTTCATTTTGCACTATGACACCGTTTACCTGCTGTGACTCCGTTTGTGTGATTGTTTCTCCAGGCCATTTCAAGACTGTGTGAAGATAAGTACAAGGATCTGAGTAAAGCAGCAATGAGACGATCCCTCAGCGCAGACAACCTGATAGGTGTGCGACATTCAAACGCCGTGCTCTCGTAGGCCCTCCCTGCTCAGCGAACCCACGGCCAACACGGGACAAAACCTGCAGAATCGGATTGAAGGGGGCTCCGCCTTCTAACGGCGCAGCATGACCCACTGCTGGTGGTTTGTTACAGCTTTACAGTCGCATCGTCAACGAAGCTGAAATGAAGGCTTCTGACTAAAATGATTGTCAGCCATTCTTTTTCCAGGCCTGTTATTTATTTCTTTTTTTTAACTCTTCCTTTTCCCCCAAGAAATGGTGTTAAAAAGTGAAGGATTTTTAACAGTCAAAAAAAAAAAACAGCATCAGTAGTAAAAGTTAAGTGTTTTCCGTCTGGATAGACGAGGCTGGGGTTGATTTAATGTTTTGTTTTTGAACAAAACTCTAGGAGGAATGTTTCTCTTTTGGATCCCGGCGCCCAGAAGAAAACTTGCTTTAACAGGAAAGTCTGTAGAACAAAAACTGTAATATTATAATTTTTATTTTAATGCGGTAGGGGGGGGTCATTCCTCACCATATTTTATCTTTGTTCTGTTTTTTTTTTTTTGTTTTTTTTTTTACAGCCATACAGTCTTCATAATCATATCAAATTAATATTGGATATTTGTTTTTTCTTTTTTTTTCTTTTTACTGAACACAGCACAGAAAAGGTGAAATTTATGTTAATTGTATCCAAATATATTCACTAATTATTTATCGTATAATTGATCCTCAGGCATGAGCGTTTAAAAGAAAAAAGCTGCAGAGCATTAAGATATCCGATGTAAAAGCTTTTGAATGTCAGCTTTAGCTTTTTCCAGACATATTAGCATTTTAATTGGAATAGCTAAAGATTTATTCTTGGATCACACCGTTCTTGGAAAAAGTGTTGAATTATCCACAGTTCTTTCATGTTTTGTGTGTTTATGTCAAGATATTGTTCAGTGGTCATGATCAAAAGTTCTCCTGGCTGTCTTTATGCTTCCGCTGGAGGAGCGGTCGGGTTTTATGCCTTTGAACGACTTAACACTAACCTTAACCTTGAGATAAAACATAAACGACCTAAATCCTCTTTATATTAGCCCAGATATAAAAGTGTTTTAATTCATCTTTTAAAGTGAGTAAATACATGGCAATAAAATAAGATACAGACAACATAAGATAATGAAATCCTAAAAAGATGGAGATAAATTGGTTAATTCTGGGACTGATGGTTGTAGAATACCCTTGTTTTCCAGCTGATCCTTTTTTAACAGGAATAATAATTAATAATTTAATAATAATATTAATAATAATTTTAGCATTCTTTGGAGAAATGTATTTCATGCATCAAAAAACCATGTGAACCTTTTTTTATGACAAGTTTAAGAAAGAAGTTAAAGTATTTTCATTTGATTAGAGCAGGTGAGACAAATTACAGGTGGAATGGCATGATTTGCATTTAAAATCATTATCTTATCTAAAGTGTGTAACATTGTTTTACCTTGTTTTAGGGTGAAAATATTAATTAAATTACCTGCTCAAATTAGTAGTAAATGCACCTATTTGAAGAAATGTTTAGGTGTTTCCAGGTTGACTTTTGCTGAGTCTCCATAGGTTCCATCATGGTGCTCCTGCGCTTTAATGCGTCGGTTCACCACACAGTCGACTGTCTTTACAGCCATGAGAGGCAAACTAAAGGCCTCCAGCTGTATCCATATTCTGCTTCAATCTTCCACCATTATGCATATAAACAACTAGGTCCTAATACAAAAAAAGCCTTTAAATTTATCTTGGTTGACATTTAATCCTTGATATTTTTTGCAAATCTGCATAAAAGAGCTTAGATTTTCTCTTTCTCTCAGCATATGCCTCATTATTTCAATGCTATAAAACCATCTGTTCTATGATAGTCACACTATAAGTGTTTGTGAAGTCAGAATCACAAAGAACTGCTCGGATCTCTTTCTGCTAGGCTATTAGGGTCAGCTATATAATTGGATGGTATAGACCAACTTTTCTATGTGTAGAGGCTAAGATCCTAAAGCTCACTGAAGTGAAGACTTTGTAAAACGGTTAAAAAAGAAATGAGTCTGGTGTTTCAGATAACCTGCAGCTCTGTTAGTTTAGCAGCGGCAGGAAATAATTATTTTCCGTTTTGTGTTTAATTAAAACAATTAGATCATGTTGCAAACAACTGTTATATAAAAGTTTTATTCAGCTGTGAGAAAGTGTTGCCAGCCTTTGCCTGCTTGGTCTCATTTTCTTAAAATGGATAAAATCTTTTTGAAAATTGTTTAAAAGTGGAAGAAAAAAAAAGGCAGCCAGTGTCCAAAGATGCCATGTTAGCATTTTAGGACCAATGAACTGCGATCAAGACCACGTTACCATCTTTCTCAAAGATCTGTCCTTGGAGGAAAGAGGACTGAGAAATGAAGGATAACTCAAGACTTTAGCACAGTGCAGTAAATTTGAGTTTCTTTAAAATTTACTTGAATTTCTTTTTATTGTTTTATAATTGAAGATGTTTTCTAACAGATTATGTAACTGGTGATACTCTAAAGGAGATTGTGGAAGTAACAGAGCTCCAGTCAGCTGCTGTGTGTCAGGAATCAGGAGTGCCAAGTGCTGGGTAGTTGTAACGCCATCTATACACGTGAACCTTTGGATGATCAAATGCTACTGAATAGTGGGAGGTACCCCCCCACCCCCCCACCCCGTCTAGCTTTGTTTTTAAACCCTTTCAGATCTCCCCACCTTCAGAAGCCTCCTTTGTTCGACAACATGACGTGGAAACGGAGGGAACAAAAGCCTGACAGACGACCCTCTCCTTTTTGCTTACTATGTAGGCTACTAGCTGTGAAATTATTCTTTGTAATGAAAAGACAAATTTGCAAATGGAGTATTTTAAATAAACACTAATCATGTGACAAATGTATGGCTTGCTGGTTTTATGCTGCATCTAAAAAAAACTAATGTGATCTGGGATTATTATCTGGTAGAAACCCTCTAGCAGCAGCTAAGCTAACATGTTTAAATAATAAAAAATAAAATCCTACTTTGGGCTGTGGTGGAGATTTACTCCTTTTAGAAAGTTTACATCTAGACTAAAGTATTCTAGCAAAGTTTTGGACTTTCAAAACATCAGTCTGCAAATTCATTTAACCTTATGCTTTTAACATATTCCACCGTTGTGATTGCTAAAGTAATTTAATCAGAAATGCTGTTTGAAAAGAGGGATAACTGCCGTTGCACCTTTGTGTGGTTTGTTTGTTCAATAGTCATTGACACAATTGCTTTCCTGCCAAACGGAAAGGAACTGGATGCCTTGAGTAAAGTTTAGTGGAAGGAAGAAGTGGAGTAGAAAAAGGTGCACAAGCAACATGACTGCAAAGGGTTAGAAATCCATTCCTGCAGATATTTGTGTTAAAGCTAGTTTCTCATTCTTTATTCATCTATATAGAAACTAACATTCATTGCCTTGAAAAACATTTATAAGCATCTGTTTTTATTTCACAGTATGAATGGAAATCTACAGTATGTCCATAATATCCTTTTAAAAATCCAGTCAATATTACTGAAGCGGTACACTAAACCACCTGAACCAAGCATCAATCATGTCGCGTTCATTCAACACCACCGACAGTAATGGCATCACGCAGCATATGGACACAGTAGGCTGTGAAACAGGTCAGCCACCAGGACTTTAAATAATTCAAATAAAAAACATCAGACAATCCTACACCGATGTAATGCATGCTTTTCTTACATCTTCATGCACTAGGGGTGGAGCGCTTAAAAGAAACAAGATGGACTGGTAAATGCTGCCATGGCAGAAATTTGTTTTTCCAACTTTTAAACGTGCATCGACTCTATTGTATGTTGAATGGATAGAATTTAATTTAACATGTCAAATGCTTGAATTTGAGCAGATCTGTAGCTATATAATTTAAATATGTAAATTACTATTCATTTTTAATTGATTTTAGTTGTAACATGTAAACACATTATTTATTTATACACTACCAATTAAAAGTTAGCACACACCTTTGTCATTTATTGGCTTCTCCCTATTGTAAAATGATGGAAATATTTTTAAAAAATAAATCAAAGGTGTGCAGAATTACACAGAAAACATCAGATTTATATGTATCAAAACATTTAATATTTTAGATTCTATTTAACATAGACCCACTTTTAATTGATTACAGCTTAATGCACACCTCTTGCATTCTGTCAGTGAGCTTCATGAAGTCACCACCTGTTGAACATGTCCAAGAGGTTTTATCCGTAAACCTTTAAAGAAGGTCTTTTTCACTGGCAGTATATAGACATTGTTTATCCATATTCTAAAGTTAGAAATGCTGTCAAATTGAAAAGAAATCTAAAAATTTCTACTATATATTAACAGTAATGGCAATAATATCACCCTTTCACCATTTGGAGGGCTGTGGGCTTACGAGTAGCCTGAGCAAAATAAATAAAATCAAAGTCAAAATACCATGACTATGGAGCTGATCCCAGAGGGAAATGTGTCCTCTGCATTAGTCCTTAACTTGGTCAAGATCTATGACCGGCGTACCTGACATCTAACAACCATACCATGCATTTTGCTTTAGGTCAATAGACTATAATAATTAGGCTATGTATGCTTCCCAAAAAAAATCCCCCCCTTTTTTTTTTCTTCTGGAGGGATTTAAATATTACAGGGATGGTAAGGAGGTCTTTTTCTAGCCTCAATGACTTAAAAAAGACAAATGTGAGTGGTGGTCATAGTGGAAAAATGAATTAAACTGTTCAACATTTAAAGGAGGGTGCAAAAGCAGAAGTATGTCATTTTCTCTAAGTATGATTTCCCTTCATTTGAGCAGAAAAGTAATGGAATGGAATTCCATACAATTCCAGATTATTTAAAAGAGCACGAAACACCTTATGCATTATTTTATTACTATCAGGAGATCAGTTTATTTCCCATCAGGAGAAAAACACTTGAGCTTAAATGAATTAGCCAAACTTAATTTAAAAGGTGTATCAAAACTTTAGAGCTTAATTAATGGAACATCTTTTGCAATAACAGTAAATGTTGCTGGTCTGAAGGTTTGTTTATCTGTGAGGTGTTCCTCCTCCAGAGAACAAAGTGAGCAGTTCCTTTGAACACCAGTAGGTGGGGCTAAAGACCAAATCCTGTTTAAACTGATCATTCCTGTTTCTTCACACAACACAGACAAAACTGACTCTCCTTTCACAAAGACACTTTAATGAGTTCACAGAACTAAAGAGGATGTGTTAGAGCGCACTATATAGACAAAACAAATGAAGTTTCCAGTCACAGTAATGAATCTCCAACAATATTCAGAGCACCACAACTCAAACAGAGCCAACACGTCACATTTATGGACAATTTCTCCTTTACATAACTTGGCTGTCAACTTTTTTTTTAACAGAAACTGAACTCATGTTTTTTCTTTACAACAAATATTTGAAGTATGTACATTAATAAATATATATATATATTTTATTTTTCCAGTGCTTGAATATCTGTCTGCCTCAGGGAGTATCGTCTTGTTTTGTTCACAGAGTGTCTGATTTGGTCAAGTGTCTCAGCTGCAGTGCAAAAAATTCACTTATAGAGATTTGCTCAAGATTCAGAGCCTCAAACATATTCTTTTCACTTTTCGTTGAACAGTTATTACCCATTCTGCGTGCTTTGAATCTTTCTGTTCAGTACATTGTTTATAATTTATATTTGGGGCAAAACGACGCAGAGAGTTCCGGTTCTTGTCCACAATCACATTTAGTGTCTCTAAAATGTTGGGTAGTGCCACAGACTTCATATATGCGAAGGAGGGGCTTTCTGATAGATCCCTGATGTTAACCCAGTTCGAGTGTGCCCAGTTAAGGCTGTGCTGGCTTCACTGTACATGGAAGGTGGTGCAGTAACCTTTTGTGGCCAGCAGGGGCAGCATCTGGCCACAAATCTCTTCCAGGACTCCAGAGTTTTTCCCGACCAAATCCAGACTCCGGATGTGATGCCCACCACTAAGCACATGAAGTACTTGAGCATGAAGACAGCATAGTCTGGGCCAAAGCCCGAGCGCTGACGTTCCGACAGGCAGGAGCAGGCCAAAGCTCGCTCCCAACCGGGTCGATAGTGCTGCTCGTAGACCAGGCAGGCCACCACAATGGTGGCAGGGACCGTGTACAGGACTGTGAACAACCCAATGCGGATCATCAGTCGCTCCAGTTTGTCCGTCTTAGTGCCACCTTGTTTGATGATGCTCCTGATGCGGAACAGAGAGATAAACCCAGCCAGCAGGAAAAGCGAGCCAGTGAAGAGGTAGACCACAAGAGGCGCTATCACAAATCCCCTAAGATTCTCCAGACTCTGGTTCCCGACGTAGCAGATTCCAGCGACGGGGTCCCCGTCCACGGAACTGAGAGCAAGGACAACAATCGACTTCACGCTAGGGATGAGCCATGCAGCCAGGTGGAAATACTGCGAGTATCCAGCAATGGCCTCGCTGCCCCACTTCATCCCCGCCGCGAGAAACCAGGTGAATGACAGTACCACCCACCAGATGGAGCTGGCCATCCCGAAGAAATACACCAGCAGGAAGACGAGGGTGCAGAGAGCAGGGCCGGAAGCGTCGTAGAGGATGTGCAGCTGATTTCCACCGAGGCCGCTGGAGCCACAAGCCACCCGCTCGTGACCCGCAACCAGACGGATGATGTAACCCAAGGAGACGAAGAGGTAGCAGGCGGCCAGAAATATCATGGGCCTCTCTGGGTACTTGAAGCGCTCCATGTCAATGAGGAAAGTGGCTACGGTGGTGAATGTGGAGATGAAGCAGAGCACTGACCAGATTCCCACCCAGAAGCTGGTGAAGGCTCGTTCATCTGCTGAGAAGTAGGGCAGGTGGCAGGGCTGGGCGCAGTTCGGCAAAGGGCCAGTTTGGACTCTGCCGTACAGAGGGTGGGACTCTCGCTTGATGGGGACCAGGGGGTCCCTGCAGCGGCACTCCCTGTCACACTGCGACGGGCTTGGAGGTCTGGTTCTGACTTTAGGGGTGGACTTTGGGAACGGAGGAGCCAGAGTGGTAGTCTCACTGCTGTTCTGATCCATGCACAGAGTCTCGTCGCCTAGTTGGGGCAGCTGCTCACAGCTCATCCTCTCCGGCCACTCAAAGCCATACTGGCTCATGAGGGGGGAGCAGCCTCGTTTGGCCCGCTCGCACACAGAGCGGCAGGGGGGGAGAGGCTTTCTATAGTCAGGCAGGCAGATCGGAGTGTACATGCTGCACAGGAAGAAGAGCAGGTCTGGAGAGCAGCGGATGCGGACCAGGGGCCAGAACTGGTGCACCTCTAGTCCCACCTCCTCCTGGGTGTCATGATTGAATTGATTTGGCATGTAGGTCAAATTGTAACCAATGCCTTTACACATGGGAACCGTTATAGGCTCACAAACAAGGTCCTTGGAGGCTCCAGATGTGAAACCAGGAGACCAGGTCACAAAAAGCAGGAACAGCATCAAGCTGTATGGTGTGAGTCTCACTGCTGGTGCCATGGATGAAATGAGTCTGTTATCAGGGTAACGTCTTTACATCAGTTACAACAAACCAGGGCTGAATTAACCCAAGTTCATCTGAAACTTTATCTTCTCCAAGATAAGTTCCAAGCAGCCTGTTGAAGGTTAAAGTTGATATCAGATGGTAAAGCCAGTTGTGGCAGAGTCCTGTGTGCTGTCAATCATTCACCAGATCTCCAGCAATCATTACGGAGAAAGTCCATATCCGGCGGTCACGTTCCAATAAATTTAACGGCCTTGTAACATTTTTACCAGCTGCCTTTCCTCATGTATGCCTAAAAGAGTCACATCATCAGGGCTGTGCAGGGTTAACCACAAAAAATGTGGTGAAATCAAATATAGGTGGTTTAACCAGCTGGTAAATATGAGCCAAAAATATTCCTTTTTAAATGAGGCACGAGGAACCAGGTGCGTAAAATCCACTTGATGCGTTTTTCTCGGTGCGTTTATTCCATCTGCGACTTGAACAACTTCTTAAAAGTGATCTTTCTCAGGTCTGCGAGTGGGGAAAAAAAAAATCAGAACGGCAATGAAGAAAGACAGAAGTTCCTCAGCGTGAAAACTTCTCCCGTGCAGGTTGGTAAAGGCCACGCGTGGCTTGCTGCGCTTCCACTGCGCCCGAGGACGAACTGAAGTCCGTCTGGAGCTGCGGCGCCTTCTCATCAAACACTGGCTCTGCTGCGTTCAGGGGCGTCGGAAATGTCACCATTCTACTAGAGGCGCACTCACAACTCTGGACTTCACACGTTTTATTTTTGGTGGAGTTGGTTTAGCATTTTTTCTATGTGCAAGTGACGAATTTTATCTGGTGGAGGACACTCTCTTTTAAATTCAAAGATATACTTTTTATGCATCTGAATGACTGACATAGCATAACTTTTTTATTTATTTACATAATGTCAGATAAGTAAACAATATTCAGATTAATCAGCAATTCTTAATCGAATTTACCAAGAAATATATGAACTAGACCTTTATAAAGAAACACATGGTGATGGGTTTCCCTTTGCAAAACAACATAAAACCACAACTAACCTTATAAATAACCTACATAAAATAACAAAGTATTTAGAGTAATTGTTTAATCAACTTTGGATAAAAAAAAAAATTGGAATAGATGTAGAAGCATTTTGGTGCTCTCTCTCTCTCTCTTTTAAAATCAAATATTTCTCAAAACGTAGGAATCAATCTTTTTTCCGTATACAATTTAAGCACGTGAACACAGCAGTGACTTGCTTCATATTGAGGATCTGAGAGTTCCCAGGACACCTTAAAGGCACCTGATGAAGATGCTTTCAATAGACTTAACACACATACATATAGATCTTTTTTATTGTATAATTCCATATAAACACATTTTATACATCAATAACCACAGCAATAATTGTATAATTTTCTGTTTAGAGTTTACAAATATATAGGACTGTGTGAGGATTGTTTTAAGAAAGGAATCATTTGCACTCTTTCTTTTTATTTTTTATTTTTTATTAATTTGCACTCTTTCAAATTCTCTGCATAGCTTTACTAAATTTGTCCTGTAAAATCATTGTAATTAAAAAAATGTTCCAAGTTGTAAAGTAGGAATTGCAGGAAAGTAATGTTACAACCCAGCTCCACCCTGTCATCTATTATGTTTCCAGCATCAACAAGTTGCTTTGAAGTTAGGCACTATTATTGAAAATAGGCACTGTTTTATATTTAATATCCTCCAGATTAACCCAACATACAAATAAGCCCTAAATAAAGATGTAAATTAGCTTCTATTTATGAACCTATCAGCCACTGATATGATTCATTTAAGGCTTAGTTTCCAGTCTGAAGCCTGTAAAATGTTTCTTCTGGGAAGTCGCTGTATTTAACTCTGACTGGCTGCTGCTGAAGAGATAAACCCCAAAGCATGAGGCTGCCACACAGAGGCGTAGCCAGAACATTTTTATAAGGGTGTCCAGGCAATAACCAACATACACACATATGATTTTTTTTTTTTTTTTAATAAGTTAGAATATTTCCACTTGAGAGTATTACTGCTGCCATTAGAGGGAAAAAAAATGGTAGGGGTGGCCAATGATTGGCTAAGGGTGGCCATGGCCCCCCATCTAGCTCCGCCCCTGCTTCCACCACTGTATCTCCCTATGGGGATGGAGCTTCAGGGTGATGTGCCATGTTAGTTTTGTTCCAAACATATCTTGGATATGTTACAGGATGGATGGACCAGTGCAGCTTTAAATTTCCCTCCTGAGTTTTTTGCTAAGTTCTTTTGTCTTTGTTTAATGTTCTCCAACAAACCTTATGGACTTTATGGATTTCCACTCCTCTAACTTCCCAATGTTCCATTACTTTGTGTTTTTCACTTATAGAAAAGTTAAACTCATAGTGGTTGTCTAGCTCAAGTGCTAAGCCCCAAGGGGATGGCTTAAATGCAGAGAGTTCATTTCATTGCTCTCTGCTTGTGACAGTGTAATGACAATAAAACCCTGGAAAATAATGAAAAGCTGGAAATACATTCAAGTTTGTAGCTTAGCAAAATATAAAAGAAAGCTCAAAAGACATAAATATGTGTGTGAGATGAGTTACCACTAGTACTTTTATAACTAAATATTTCCTCTTAAATGAGCTGAAATATCTCTTGTTTTGTCCTTTTTAGTCAGACTAAAACTGCAACACATAAACTGAAGCCTAAAATGATTTGTAGCCAGATAAGTTTCAGTGATCACTTGTGTTTTGAAAACAGCATTTGATACATAGTAAAGTGTTTTTTTTTTATCCCAACCATCTTTTTTATTTATATAAAAGCAGCTTCTTTTTATTTATCTTCCAAAAGTGAAAAATCCTTGCAATTACTTTTTTTTAATGGTATAAAATAGAATTAGTAACTGCAGCTCCCAAATCAAGCTAAAGCCATTTTGTTAAATAATTCATTTAACAAAACAAAAAAGAAAAATTGAAAAGAAAAGTAGATGATCATATTTTATTGGTCCTGGAAAGATGTTTAATATTTCATTATATGTTTCTATTAAATGTTAAAAAGTTAAATTGGTTTAATATAAAGCAGAATATATGTCAATCAAACCAAATCATGGTTGAAATCTTATATTATTATAACGAGCTTTATTAGGGAGATAACAAGCAGTTGCAAATTTACAGAATTTAGAGCAACAATAAAGAAAAAAAACACCCTTTAAACACATAACAGTCTATGTTCTTTTTCTGCAGAACACAGATTGAACTGCTCTCATTCAATCATTCATATGTGTTAAACAGATTACAGGGAATTTAGCTGCAATGCTTTATAAGAACAGACTAAGGGCAAACCAATCTGTGTTGCTCAGTAACTGAACCTTTCCCCTTAACATCTAACTCAGCCTTTCACGTCGGACAAAGGTCACAACGCTCTATCAGGGGACAAAGGTCTCCAAAGGTGTGTTTGAGCAGCGAGGGTGTGTGTGCTCAGCATATCAGCCAGGAGGAGACTCTCCAGGCTCTGATTTACCTTCACTCAGGTCACTCTGACAGATGAAAGTAAACAGTGAGTTTGAGTTTGAAGCCTAAAGGGAATTAGTCTTTTGTGCATAAGCATACACGTGCAGAGTGTGTGTTTGTGTACGAACATACATGTGATGGAGTGAAGGGATTTTCTCAGGTGCAAAGCTTGTTTGACTAAAACTTGAGATGGAACACAAGGAGGGAGATGTGACCTGCGTTACCATACGGTCACATAAAGAGACAACATATATCCACACACGTCTGGACTTTGCCTACATGGCAGAAACTTCATTTAAATTTGATGTAAATCATCTTAGCTATGCAAAATTATTTTAGTTTTTTTTTTCATTTTTATTTTAGTAAAAGTTTCTTATAAGGTTTTTAAAATAGAAAATAAACAGCTAAATATAAAATGTAGAGTCCACTGATCTGTAATTTAACCCTTTATAAGGCACTCAGTTAAATACTTCGAAAATCAAAATTTCAAGCCAATAGTTTTATTTGCAGGGGCGGAGCTACATTGGGAGGCCAGGGGTGGCCATGGCCACCCTTAGCTAATCACTGGCCAGCCCTGTGGCCACCCCTACCATTTTTTCCCTCTTTAATACAGACAGTGGCAGCAGTAATACTCTCAAGTGGAATATTCAAAAAAATTTAATTTTCATATATTAACAATTAATTGACAACAAAAACAATGTGGTTAATTATGCATATCAATATACTTACATTAAGGAAGATAATTCATGCTCTTTTTCAGAACTAGATTTTGTGTTATATGGGGTAAAGAGAAAATGATGTGTCTTTGAAAGCTATCTAAGATTCTTCAGTGACATCATAGATAAATTACTATTTTAATAAAAACTTATTAAATAATCAATTTATGTAGAAATTAGTACTTGTAAATATCAATTTTATGCAGAATAATTGTTGATAAAAGTAGGTAAGTAATAAAAAAAGGAAGAGATGTTTGCCCCAGAACTTAAAGCTGAATGAATTGTATCCACTATACCTTTTATCTAGAAAGCACGGATGTTTAAATATATGCATCTATCTGTTAGCAAAGGTTGTAGGAAAGTATAGGTTGTCTTTATCTAGAAAGTATGGATGTTTTGCTCGTTAATTTTCCTGTTGGAACAGTGTAGATGGACTGTGAGATTCTGGTGCCTATTCACTTTTGACCACCCCTCAGTGTACATTGGTTATTGCCTGTCCCCCCTTCTGGCTACGCCTCTGGTTATTTGAATCCAGGAAAAGACCTTATTACCTTTGTAACATTAAAAAAATATGGATATTTTGATGGCAATGAATGTCAATGTAATAACAAGAAACCCCAACTTGCCCGAATATAATAAAAAAAATAACAAAAAAGCTTCTATAAGAAATTCATGAAAAACACTCAGAGTGAAAGGAACACATTTCTTTTCACCTTAGAGGCATTAATGCTGATTCTGGCAGTTACATATTTTACTTTATAAACCTGAATATATTTGTTAACTTTTTAACTTAACTTTTTAGCTTTTTACCTTTTTTTCTTGACTTAACTTTTTTTACAACTTAATTTACAGTATATATCAATGGCTCATCTAATTGGTCAAATCCCAAATAAGATATACAGCCATGTAGCAGTATCTTTGTTGAAAGGCTGGATATAGATCTTCTAGACCTCACTGAGCGACGGGGGGACGACTCCATTTGTAAGGACGATGCAAGTGATTAAAAATGGTAATTTGCCCTATAAAGGGTTAATCCCAGTATAAATCCAGCTGTTATTTGAAGGCCTCAGATGTTTGCTTTTTTAGAGAAAATTAAAGAAAAAACATCATCATTAAGAGCAAAGACAACATTAGAGAGGTTGCTGTGAGCATGACTAAGTTTTAACACAATATCCTAAACTTTGCACATTTCATGGAGAACTTGCAAATCCATAATGGAATATATGGAAAGAGAGTAATGAAGATCTAAGCCTATTACTTCTTTTTTATTTTTTTTTTTTTTACCAGAAGCAGTAAAATAAACTCAGTGACCATTTGGGCCCAATGAGATCAAAACGTAACATTTTAGCATAAAAGCATAAATCCAAATCGCTGTGTGGCAGAAAACTAACACTGCATCTTTTTTTTTGTAAAATAAGGTGATGGCTGCATCATGATACGAATGACGCTACTTTTCAGCAGACAGGAAC